CCAAGGACCATTTTTTCGGCTTCAGCGAAACCGTGCAATTCGAAGGATGAGAAATTCTTGGTTTCTTTTTTACAATATATATTATTTTTTCATATACGTGTTTACATTACTGAGAGAGAAAAAAACACAAGGTAAAAAAAAATACATTTCACATTTTTGTTTTTTGTTACGATCTCAATTTGAGCTCAGAAAAAAACATTTGGTACAAATTGACTGTATTGAAATTTTCACTACCCTTGTGAAGCATCCATGACTTATACATTGTGAACATTGCAATTACAATCAACATATGTTCACGCTGAATGTAACCATTCATTCCATATATAAGTGTCGGCATAGTTATTGTCACACAAGTTTCTATTTGCTTCCAGAAACTTTTTACTCTTTCCCAATTAATGAAGAGATGTTCACCATCATTGTTTACATTACATAACGAACACAAATTTGTCATCATTTATTTTCCTCTTGTATGAAATTTATGCATAAAACTGCACAATTTTCTTTCTGAAGTAAGTTTAATAGTTCGACTTAGCCATAATTTTGACCAATTACTTTCTGTGATACCAAAAATCCTGTCACATTTATTTGTTATCCAAGGTGTGCCAAATTCCACGCTCACAAATGACCAATAAGAGTCCCGTGTAGTTACGAGATGAACATCTTTCAGATTGTTGTGATTGTTTAACATTACAGAAACCGAAGTTTGCCTCGAAGTATCTGACATTCGGTTTCCCAGTGGTTCGGCAACGCATTGATTAACATGAATGTTTCTTTCACCCAGTTTCTTTTACATTTTAAATTTCGCAGTAGGTTTAATTTACATTACCATGGTCATCAATGACATCACTTACAAAAATCTGGCACGATACAAACATTAAGAAGGTAGGCTATTTTCGCAGACGCCAGTGACTTAATTACAACAATTTTACCATATTAAGTGATATTTCAGTGTGACCATAGAGATAGGATATGATGTATGGCGTTCACTTTTTTGTTTAGAGCGAGAGAAAAATACCCTCACGAGTGTCATAAGAGAAAAAGGTGCCTAGAGATGTTATTGACATCTTAAACAAGCAAAATCATCGGGTCGTTTGTGACGTGGCCCAATCCAAAGGCCCTCTATTTTTCCAACGTTCAGAGATAAGCCCGACAACGTGACTGAGCTAAATGTATTCACAACATGACGCTTGATAGTCGTCTCAATGCCGCGAGACAGTGCGCCATCTAAAGGCTGATTTTCAGAAAAATTATAAGTAAGTCTACGTCTGTGCTCATATACTGGCGGGGAAATCAATATATTGGGTAAAATGCATGTACGTGCTGAGACATATTAGACAGAGTGTTAATGTTCCACTTCTAATGGTTGGAGGATATGGATATAATATAATAGATAGCAATTGGTTAAATATAGTTTAATTAAAGTGGCCCGAGATTTGTCAAATCATAGGTTTACAGGCTCACTGGTTGGCAAATATGCAAATGTAGACCCAAATGCTCAACCAAAATTCGTCAAGCCTCGCCAAGTAAAATATATAATAAAGGCAAAGGTGGGTGTGGAGTTGTGGAGACTTCTCAGTGATTGTATCATTGAGCCAGTAGAGTTCTCAGACCCCGGTCACATCTACTGTTCCTGTTAATGGAAATGTATTTATTTGCGGGGGTTGCTAGGTAACAATACACCACATGTTAAGAGCCAGTATACTCATTAAGATTGATATGCTACATTATCAGGAGGACAAAGTTTTACCAAGCTTGATGTAAACAGTACCTACCTTTCATCTGCCATTGGATGGACATTCTAAGAAATATATCCCAATAAATACACACCATGATCTCTTCTAGTAAAATTGTCATTCAATAGGAGTTTCATCATCACCTGTAATATGGCAAACAATATGGACAGTCATTAAGGTATACCACGTGTTTTTGTATACATTGATAATAACCTGATTATACGGGCAGAAACTAGAATTTAGAAATATGTATGTGTAAGCTGTCTGAAGAAGATATACAAGCAAGAAAGGAACAAACTGTTTCTCACGTTCGAGAAGTAGGATACCGTAGATGCAGCATTGAGGGAAGGACAGATTCCACATTGTGTTACGGGACTGATTACACTCATAGTTCGGTATGCTCAGTTACTATGGTCGTGTTGAAGGTAACCTGTCTATCGTGCAAAACCCTCCTTCATTTATACTGAACTGACAACAAAATTGTTAGTGCCTTCAAGAATCCATACGAGTTATTGAATTATTTTGCTTGAGTTTTTGCATCACTGTGATCTGAGTAAATATGTGTGCCTTGAATGGGATACATCGCATTACGGTATTGACATATGGTCACCCCTTGTTACGTCGCGGGTGTCGGGGTCCAAGCAAAAAATCGAGAACAGACAGACCGGACAATTGTCGCTCAAATATGCGTGCGCAGGTGACGACCCTCCCGCTTTAGGTATTCCATCATTTTACCACCGACCCTCAACGTTGAGGTGATTTTACTAATTATTTGATCATTGGTGTAGCGTTTGTCACATTTGTTGATTATAAATCCATTATTAACCATTGAAATGTGTCCTTCTATCCCCCTGAAACACGACGTATGGATGCATCTTCAATAATCACGTCAGTTACGTGACTGGAGTGCGAGATGTTGGACACTCCTGAGGAGAACTTGATATCCGACGGGCGGCCCCAACAAATTAGAACGTCATTTTTATATTTGAAAAACGAAACAAACACAAACTTTAACTTTGTCGTTTATTGATAAATGGGCGATAAATCGAATTTGAATAAATACAATGAAGCACAGATGCGACTAAATAACAAAAACTCGTTGTACCATATATTTAACCAGCCGTTAAAGAGTAACTGACTGAACAACGCGTGTTAAATGTCGAAGACATCGGGTCGACGAGGGTTGAAAAACACTGGCGACGATTGTCACACACCGACTCTTAAAATGTTCGCGGTAACCCGGCTTTTGCCATTTACACACTCCCAAGATATATTATTGTATTGAAGAAGAAAAAAAACACCAATAAAATAAATAAGTCTATTATTTGATAAATGTATGTATTATGATGCCACCTCTATACTGTCACTGCAGTTACAGGTACATTCGTAGCTTTTGGAAATAAAAACTGTTTTGTGCCAGTAATAATTGCATAGCAATCGTACTGCAAGTCGACAAACAAATAAACTAAACGAAGCTTCGATTGTAACGAGTTATAGAGCAAAAACGACGACCTGTAATTTACGACAGTGCTGTCGGCAAGCTTGACTGACTTGCTTTCAAGCGGATTTAGTCAGCAAATAGTAGGCCCGATTTGTAATTAATATTCAACAACAAAACTTTCATCGCCGGTATTTAGTAAAAATAAAAAAAGCGTAGCTTAACCGAGTACTCGCATCTCATTATGTAGTTCTGCTCTGATGACATTTTCGCTTGGTGTCGTGGCTTACGAGAAAGTGGCGAGAAGAGCGTAGACACGACAGTGTTCAAGTTTAACGGTCACATATCACGTTTTGTACATTTTGTTGTGATATGGGATAACATTCGAAACTAAGCTTGTCAAGCAAATAACGTGATTACACTGTTTATTCAAGGGCGACCATACTTCGTTTTCACGTTGTTGTTTTTTTTCAAATTATCGATTTTTTCATAACTTTACCGGCCATTACAAAACCAAACACAATAGCTATCTTAAACATCAACAAATAACTGAATACGATGCGCTGAGCAGAAAATATCCTCTCGATTGTGCTACTTTTGTCTTTTCAGGCATTTGAAAAGTAACGTGTCTAAAACCACAAAAATCGCGATTACACGAACAGTTCTTGTCCGATTTCATTGACTTTTTCAGAGATTGAACTCAAGATCAATTGAAAACAAAATGTAAACTCTTTGTCAAGTATCAGTAATATTTCATTACTAATTGACCTGTGAAAACAGAGCACTCTAATTTATTACAGAATTCTTCTCCACCACTTTGTAAAAGAACCAAACAATTCAGAAACTATCTCCTTTACATTATTGTTGAGAACATTGTAGTCTTCCTTTTCTCATAAAAATATGTTGGCTAACTGTTTTCGTTTTCTAGTAACAGTAAAAATAGCAGAACATCCGATTTTGTTTATTTAGCAGTCATGTGACGTAATTAACGTTAACATTAGTGTTATCATATTTTTTGGATAGAGTTTTGCAAGGGCTGCAATAACATGTAAAAATTGGTAGTCATTAATTTTTATTATTTGTATCAAGCTTTTTCTGTTTTACCCAACGAAAGTCTACTACATCCTTAAATGCTTCAGACTCTAACCTTATAAAATATTTTACGAATTATGTATATTCCATTGTTAATGTTGTTGGTGGTTGTATTTAGGGACCACTCTGATGCATAACTTTGACATTGTATCAAAACAATTACTTAAAGCGCGTTTCCGCAATCCCAGGGATTGCACCAGTACGTCATGGCGCGATATACTATCCAAATGCTACCACCAAAGAAACACAGAAAGCGTAAAAATACAGTCATTTTGACCATCGGGGTATAAACAGATTTTATTATGCCGCCATGCTTTGACAGAACTTGTTACAGATTTGTTTACGATGTATTCATTAAAATTAGGTATGTATACAAATATTTGAGGAATATTTCTTAATTTCACTGGATGATGATTACATTGAAGATTTACTTCCTGCGTATTGCGCGGCTTAATACCGTATACATGTATATTTTCTTGTCAACCGCATGTAAACAACACTACAGTGACAGCTCTTGTAGAACGCTTCTTGTCACTGAAAATGGCGATAAATAAATATAACATCGCGAACAAGCATGCTCAGGAATAGTATCCACATTGAAGCTTAAATAAATTATGTTTGTCTCGTATGCATTCAATGACGCGTGAATTACAATATTATTAAGTTGCAGGAAACGCTTCCCGCAGTTTTCGTTTTCTGTGTCATGCCGCCCTCTGTCGACAACAGTTTAAACTTGGCGAGACTTCATAATCGAGACTTCTCGAAGTACCCCATTTCTGAACGAACGCTTGTGGAAGGCACATCATTTCCGGTCGCTCTACCCAGTGCTGTCTGTCGTGTATGACCGTGTGTTACGACAAAGTGGATAGTGGACTGTCAGTCGTGTGGAATTTGACAAGGTAAAAGTGGTAAGTTTATTAAAGAACATGCGCGATGGCGTCACGATGTAGATGGCGAACTGCCACATCTTACAATTTGATCAGCTGATTGTATTTCTCTTTCGTCAAGATGACCGCGATGTGGTGTCCATTTCATTGCCGACTTCAATGACCACTTCAAGGTCTTGGCACAAATCACCGGACACGTATTCCACGTAGTTGTGATTGGTGTTTCACTAATATCATAAAATAATTATTGGTTTGAGGTATGTTGTTGTTCTGTGATCGCTACCACCGTCCCTCACGGTGTCGCTACTTAACTTTGTCGGAAACTGTCGCTACGTTGACCCTACGCGGACTTTGTGTGCTGATTATATTATATGCAAAGTCAGTGTTGTACGATACACGCTACCTGCGACACAATTGAACTTGAGACACCCACTCAAATGATGTCTGGCACACGGGAAGTGTCTAGAATTGAAATAATATAACATTTCTAAGCGACTCCTCGCCGCGTTCTTATCCATTCAATGATTGTATTAAAACCCACTTCTGAAATGTATTGTTTACATCTCGATTAACGTCACATAACTGTGTCGTGCTGACTTCCTCCCGTAGGACTGAACTAGTGCACGTAGGAAGTCACAAAGATGGCATCGACTAGTAAAGGGATTCTCGCATGCAGTGTTCTGCTGCTGTGCTTTTCTGTCGGGTGTTGCGAGTTTTTCACCGCTCTGTCTGACTTGGAACGGCTTGTACACAAAGAATCCGAGATGGTTCAGTCATTAAAACAGTATATTCTAATGGAACAGGCAAAGCTGGATGAATTAAACAGGTATGGAGAATATACTAGCAGTAGCACATTATTTACAACATGGTAAAATATCTTGATGTATACAGTACAGTACAACTGATTATGACCACCCAGATTGCATTAAATTATCTGGTGAATATATCTACCAGCCTTTATTGTAACAATCAAAACAGAAAATCTGCATTATGAATGAAATAGAAAATTAGAATTAATGAAATTTTTGAGTTGAAACTTTTATACAAGAGATATTTGATTTGTTGACAGAATCTGTCAGAAAACAAGCTGTGTTTTGATTGGCTTGACTGTCAGGGTTGTTTAGCCAGTTAGGAACAATCTTTTGGAGTTATTTGGACTCACAACTGAGATCATGGGCCAGCATTCTGCTAACATCTGGTCATAGTGGTGCTGTTGGGAGATGCAGTAATATAAGATTTGAGTATATGCAGTTCTTTTACAGAGCTGGATTTTCTCATTTGATTTTATTGTACATGTTGTTTTTAAAGATTTGTTGTTAAAATTACATTAGGAGCAGTAACAGCTGAAGTTTTTAAAGCATTATTCAAAAAAATCTTTATTTGACTATGACTTAAAAAAAAAATCTTGATAAATCTACGGAGCAAGATTTTTTGGGTTGGCCCTTAGCTGAATTAAGTCATAAATCAAAATTGAAATGTAACATTTGTTTGTTGTGTACTTTTCAGTTTTGCATGGTAGGTTTTTTTTTTCACTGACACATGTGTGTAAACCTGTTCATTAATTGCTCAGGTGTGCATGTTTACTGGCCTTCGAAGTCTTGTTCCTGTCAATTTGAATTTCAAACAGTCACCATTTAGTCAGAAGTTATAGTTAACTATTTACTTTTCCATCAACACTTTTGTCACCTCTCATGAAACGAGTCACATCATTTTCATTTTCTTCATACTTTTTCTAACTTTTAGTCAAGAGCAATAGGCAGTAATGTACATTTAATCTCAAATTATAGAAAAACTATGGCTGTTACTGTAACAAGGTAATTTTGGGAAATTTTGAAATTTATTTTCACTTTGCAAAATTTCTCCACACCAACAACAATTTAACGGTTTGCAGTATTTTTGTCTTGAAATCCGTAAAAAAACCTTTTCTGATGAAATGCGGCTTTCCGAAATATTCATTGATAAAAAAATAAAGATAAATACTAAGGCACTGTAAACAAATACTCGTCAACAGTTCCAATTCTTGTGTGAAAATAATATTTACAAATTAAAGTACTGTAAAATACTTTTACTTTTAGCTAGAATTAATTTTCACTGAAAAGACTTTTTGAATGTTTTGTATGGAATTTATTTTCACTGGTTTTTGACGAGTTGAATGTAAAATGATAGGAAAAAGGTATATTCGCTGGATTTTATTTTCTTCACTGAATCATTTCATTAGCGAAAAATAATTCCAAGCAAAAATAAAGTATTTTGCAGTATATCTGAAAGTCAGCAACACTAGTTTGTAATATTAATATAAATATTATAATAACATAATTGTGTGTATTGTTATGTTTAGTCTTTTTCTCACACACTAAAAAAATAAGGTCAATTATGGCTCAATAAGGTTGGACACGTTATTGAGCCTTAATTGACCCATTTTTTCACTGAACTACAATTCTTGTCCCATGTGGCAGAATGTTGTCATTGGATCCAAGTCTTCCATTTCCAGTTTCCAACCTTTCAACCCAATGAATTGTATGTAAACAATAATTTCAGTATCTTGTTTCAGAAAAGCAATTCCGAAAATAATTGGAACGCCTTCTAATCATTTTGTAAACTGATGTTGACATCAACAGAGGCACAGTCCTGGCTTCAAGAAGTGCATAAATTATAAGTAAATGTCCTTGTGTTATAAAGGAATTGGGATCGAATTGCAATTGTAAGCTAAGCTGATGGAACAACACATTTCTCTGGTCAGTGTTAGTTTTGTTCACCAGTGGATCAGGTTCCGGGGAGTTTCTTTGACCATGCCCTGGTCTTTTCTTTAAACTTGCTGGTTCACTTCCAGCATAGTGAATGGCTTTAAAAGTAATTTAGTATTCTCACATAAAAATCAGGTTAGTTAAGTCATAGACAGTATCCTACTATACTATCTATGGTTATATTTTAGCTTTAAGACTCGTTTTAAAATTTAAAAAAAATGGATCAACGAATTAGTTATATGTATTACAGTTTAGTAACCATGGTTATAACTGTATCATATTTGAGAGGATGGATTATAAAAGTGTACTTCTCCTCAAACAGTCAACTTAGATGTGCTGAATGGCTCTGGTTTATGAATTGGAGAGTTTTTTTTTTGCTGGAACCTTCATTGTGCAGAAACTAAATTTAATTAAATAACGTTGTTAGGTTTGGTTATCAAGACCCTCTGCAATCAGTTTATCCCTCCTCAGACCTAACATAATTAAAAATGTTATGTAGCTATCAGATCCCATTATTGCATGTATCATTTGCCATAATGAATTACAGTAATTTAAAACAGACTGTAGACAGTTTGTAATCTAGTACAAATCTCCACATTTTCAATTGACACATGGGACTTTAATATCAGAACCTGGATGATTAATACAGTTTGTGATTTATTTAAAGAAATAAAACTAAGAAATATTTGTTTCAATATATCTAAAATCAATTAAATCAAATTATAGTAGTAAACAGAAGTGTGTATGCCAATTGAAATGATGATTTCACAGGTTAACACACACAATTAAACTTGAGTCTTCCTCAGTGCTTATTTTGAAAATGTTATGTATGCATGAAGTTAATTTTGATTCCCTGTGTCTTAAAAACCACAATAAAATATTTACAGCAACCAGATTCCCTGAAAAAAATGTGTCTGACACACAACACAAAATTAATTCTGCTTCCAGTCTTCTCAACAGTAGTTGTGGATTGGCCCCAGGACCCAGTATTAATACATACTTCAATGCCAACTTTTCTCCTTCCTTAATGACCTTTGACCTGTACCCCACAAGGGGAAAATGGCCATATGTGGTTGCTTTGCTGTCTTTAACCTCAATTAAAGATAACGAGATCCTGCTGAGTGAACAAGAACTTGTGCATGTGAACTTGTTTATTGAATTGCTAGTAGTTCTGTTTATTCTTGGTTTTTTTTGAATGTCTGGGCTAATGCACAAGGGTAAAATAGTTGTCTAGCCATGTTGTCTTACACTAATACCCAGTACTATGTTGTTTTGTTAGATATCAACCTGTACAGCCACTGGGCTAACAAACAGGAAGTACCAGTGGATAAAATGATTGTTATTTTTCAGATGTATGTTGCAAGTTGATCGAAATACTGTATGCTACAGTAAAACACATTTTATAATTATTAGATTGAAGAACATCAATTTGGCTTTTGACCAACAAAACAATTTTTGATGATTAGCTACTTATTTGTGTAGCGGTAATGCACTCTAGCTAAAATTATGTGCTTGGCCATAAAAGAGAACTTTAACAGTACTGGTATATTAGCATGCATGTATAGTTTTACTACCATGTGACTGGAAAGTGAGGAAAAACATGGCCACTTGTATGAGAACGCAGACGACCAAACATAATGGTATACGGTTCACGGAGTGGAATAATCAAAGAAAATTGTAGATGCATTTCTTTTGTATGGAAAACACTGAAGCCTGTGATGCCTGCCTTTACTCAGTGTACCTAATGTATCAATATGACTCTTCTTGACACTGATCAATGGCATTCATTCAATTACTAGTAAAGTAAAAAACTTTCCAGATGACCTTCTGTTTTGAAGTGACCTAGCATCCAAACACGTCATACAACTAAAATATACACAAGTGCCAACTCGCGTTGAACGCTGTCAAGTCATCTTCAATATACTGTAGAATACTTTATTTTAGCTCGAATTAATTTCCCCTGAAAGGGCTTTTTGGGTGTTTTGTTTGGAATTATATTTTCACTGATTTTTGATGAGTTGAATGTGAAATATAGGAAAAAAAGTATATTTGCTGGATTTTATTTTCACTGAAACATCCCTTCAGCGAAAATAGCGAAAATAAATTCCAAGCAAAAATAAAGCATTCTACAGTAGGCAAAATTTTCTCTCACTGGAAAACCTGCATTTGGCTTTTAATTCTAGTGGTATGTAGCTTGATGACCATCCCCACTGTGCTGCGAGATCGGTAATTTGCTAATGTAGCATGTTCTGTGTTCAGTTCACTGCACATGCCACAGCTATGTACATGTGGTTGTTTATAAACTTATAAATGATTTCTGTTATCACTACAGACTGGATCCTGACTGTTTTACTTCCTCATATCAGTCAACATTTCGGTTGTAAAATTGACAGTGAGACGCATCATACAGCAGGCCTTGTCTTTTGAAAATGGTTGGCGAGATTTAAAAATGGGTCCCACAATGAGTCATTATGCGAGCTATGCTATTAAAATTTATACAAATGTTCTACAGTGGAGTTCATTAGCTCTGATGGGTCTTTATTTGTGAGAGTGATAGGAGAAAGGATGTATGGCTATCCTCAAATGGCATGTCCTAATACAATGTTGAAACTTTTGAACTCCATGTTTTTTTAGCTAAAATTCTTGTGTCCCATTACCTTAATCTTGATCAAGTTGTAAAAGTATGTGAATTTCTATTTTTAGCAACTTTGAAAAAAAAAAACGCTACTGTACAACATTCTTCTCACTTCTCTGTCTTGCATCATATCAGATACTGTAGAATACATTATTTTCGCTTGGAATTTATTTTCGCTGAAGGGATGATTTCGTGAAAATAAAATCCAACGAATATACTTTTTTTTCCTATATTTCACATTCAACTCATCAAAAATCAGGGAAAATAAATTACATACAAAACACCCCAAAAGCCTTTTCAGCGAAAATTAATTCAAGCAAAAATAAAGTATTCCACAGTATATGCACATGCTTTTGTTTCATGATCCAATTCAAGATGTTTGAATGATGGAAACTATTTTTATAAGGCCAAAAATGTATCAAAATCACACATATTCAACTTTCCCAA